TTATGAATCCCATGGTTCTGACATGTTTTAAATATACTCCTTCCACACGGATAGAAGCTGAATGATCATTGTCCTGCTTACTACAGATATAACCTTTCAATGTATAATCTGAAGGAAAGTTTAGGTTATTCGAATATGGCAAAGCATACCGGCTGTTGACCTGAAGAAGGATGCCTTTATGAACATTCTACGGGAAACTGGCTTGTATTTGCATTACATATGAGGAAAACTAGAAAAATCAACCATGCAGCCAGCCCTTTAACCATGATATGAACACAGATCAAACTACCAGTATTCAATGGTCTTAACCACTAGTAGGAAAAATCTAAAAAAATGCTTGCAATATCATGCAATCAGAAATTCACTAAATGTTGCACAGCAGGATTACTTTTTCAAGTGTCGAGGATGAGAATACTTAATGAATGAGAATTGTTTACATAGGTATTTGGTCATGGTATTATTCATTACATATATTCTCTGTTGTTCATACAGATACTAATATTTTAGTACATTTAAAAGTGTCTTTTTCATTAAGTGCTTTGCTTGTTCAATATTCCCAAAATTGTGTTTCATATGTTAAGTGCTACTGTACATATTAATGGATTCATTACAGAATAATACATTTCAAATATCCATTTTATGCAAGCAATTTTCAAAGTTAATTTTTGAATTTACTTGCTGATAGCTTAAAATATTTTATTTTGAAACAACTGCCTTTTTCACAATAAACTGGACATTGCCAAGAATCTTCAATAATATTCAAATCCTGCATTGTAAATAAAACTATAAGAACATTATACATTTTGTTATCTTTCAAAAGTCAAACTTTGATTAATTACTCAAAGCAGTGGTTTACTAACTTTGATGACCAATAAAAAATCTTAAAAAAAAAATTTTTTTTAATCTCATCTCAGAGAACCAATAATACTTTTTTTATTCATTATTACTTCTTTATTTCATTCTAATCATCTATCATATATAAACACCTAGCATCTTCTGAAGGGTAATTGCTAAGATATATTAAAAATATGTCCGAATAAATTTTTAAGCATGAAAAGTGATGTAATTCCTATTATTTTAGATAAAAATAAGAGTAATAAAAATAAAAACTTTAGTTAATTATTTAAACCTTATATTATTGCGGCCCACGTTAATCATGTTTTAGGACTCGGGTACCCTATGGTTCTGAGTGTTTAGTCTTTTAATTATTAAGAACACAGTCATACTACTCTAAACAGGCGTGTTACCAATTATCAATAAGCCCCCCCTCCGCCGTAATTTCGCCTGCTCATCCAGTAGTGATGCACCACCAGTCAGCGGCAAAACGGAGCACGCACAGAACATACGAGAACAGATTTGTTGTCTAAGCGTTTGAAGAATCAGGTTGCTACCTACGACCACCGAATTCACCGGGTTACCAACTTTGAACTCTTATCGCCAATTTTGGCGATGTTTACATTTAACGGATCCTCTGCGGAAGTGCTTCCGTCTAATGAATCAAAAAGTAACTAAAACTAATAATTTTCAGAAAAGCTTCCTCTCCTTATTTAAAAAAAAAATTTAGTCAGAATAGAGAAAATATGAAAAACATTTTTCATGTTGACGAAGACTAATATGCAACTTTATTTCTATTTAAAAATACCACCCGCCGCACCAGGGAAAAAATAGTAAAGTAACATAACAAACAAATATTAAAGAAAAAGCAGCATAAAGTGTGTATACAAATATACACATTTTATGCCCGTGTTCTCGAACTCAAATTGCATGTGGGACAAATGCACAACCTGAAAGCAAGCAGACAGGCCAAAATTTTTTTTTAAAAAAAGAGGTTTAACAAATCAATTTTTTTTTATCTATATATTAAAAAAAAAGGTATTTTTCTGTTTTGCTGGCACAGGCGATAAAGTCGCCAATAATGGTACAACTGATGCCAAATGGAATATTCTCGATGGTTAAACTTTTTACACCTCATTTTCAAAACAAGTCGCAGCCATTTCTTATCAGATTGATTGTTTCTTGGACTGGCATACAATTACATAGAATTTTTACCAGATAGTTCAATTTTATGCCCTAAGACCATTTGTGGTAAATACGTCAATTAGGATGCAATCGCACCATTTACCCGAAGTCGAAAACATCAAAAAGCAAAGTCACGGGTTACATTCATCCATTCTAATGAGAATGCACTAGTGAAGTAAAGCACTGTGGTTTTACATAATTTCTGAGCGAACTATTTGTACAAATTGAAATAATTCTTGCATTCCAAATTAAGATTTAACTTGACATCAATACAGATAATTACTGAGAAAATTAGATTTTTGTAGCGTAGTTCATGGTGTGGTGTGGTGGTGTGGTGTATTTAATTATGGCAAAGCACACTAGGGCTATCTGCCTAAGGGGAGGGATGCCTTTCGTGGAGGACTTTCTAAGGGAAACTGGCTCGTATACACGTTACACATGGGGAAAACCACGAAAACGCCCATGCAGCCAGCCCGTTCGCGGGATTCGAACCTCGGACCGAACTACCAGTGTTCAGCGTCTTTACCGCTCGGCCGCTGGTGGGCCGTAGTTCATGTGAAATGAGATTACATGGGGTCACGTGATATGAACCGGCAAATCAGGATGTTGAACCATGAAAGCATAGCAAATTCTTAAATTAATGTCTTTTTACAAATTTGTTCCTATTTATTGGCTTTTTACAAAATTTTAACAATATGCAAATGTTTATGCCTTCAAAATAAAAAATTCTTAGAACTAATATTTGTTAAAATTTTTTATGTGTATACTGTATGTTGTCGCCAATAAAGTCTGCTTGGCAAGATATGCGCCGGTGTAACGGAAAAGTACAAATAAAAAAAAAAAAAAAAATTACTACACACTTGTCCAAACATGCATATAAAAAAAATGGGTACTATTCTGTTTTGAGGGCCGTAAAAATATTGCAGCGAAAATGTATGCGCAAAAGCGCCCATTTAACAGCATGCCAAATGTAGCGTATGCGCTGATTTCATATTGCGTAAGTATATATTGTTCTATATTTCTGAAGATGCCATTGAAATACTAGTTTAATTTTTAAATCCTTTTTTGATTTTAAATTCTTTTTTGATATCCTATGTATTTAACAATTTGGGAATTGCCCATGACGAAAAGTCGGCAACAGAATTTTGGGTAAAGTGCAGAATCACCTACTGCTTGACGCGTTTTTAAGAATTGCACATACTCAGTATCCATGTGCACATCGACCTATTTTCACTTTAAAAAAAAAAATCCTAGAATTGCACAAAAATGGCACTGCGCACACCCTTGACTTTATCTACGTACACATCGCCCAATTTTCACTTAAAAAGTAAAAGAAAATTGAGAAAAATCCAATTGTTTTTAAGCCTTGTAAAAAGCGGCAAACAAATAAGTGAGCGATTCTGCACTTTACCGAGAATATTTTCAAAGAAAAGGCATCATTCATTATACAAAATGTTTGAACAACCAACGAGATGAAATTATGCTTTACCGATAAGTCGGTAGCGAAATAGCGATGCAGGCATCCATTCAGTTATGTTTAGCAATTTTTATATAAATTATAATAATGATCTGAAATAGTTATTTACTCTTAGACTTCCATTCAGTCATGTTTAGCCTTATTCATATAAATTATAATAATAAAAAAAGTAATATATGAAATTAACCTTTCATCTAAATTAAAACATCCATCTTAGATAGTTATTTACTATTATACTTCTTTTCTTGCCGCAATTATTTTTGGCAGCATTAGCATCAACAATAGTTTGGCGATTTTTTACGGCCTTCGAAACCGAATAGTACCAAAAAATGCAAGAAAATTCAAATTTATGCTTTTTTTCCGTCCGAAATGTAAAAGTTGGTATCTGAAAGAAATTTTTGTTGGTCAGACTATAATTTCAAACATACTGAGAGCCAGCTAAATAATAAATTTCTCAGACTAACATTTAGTCAAATAATTCCGATATATTGAGGTAAATAACTTACAATGGGATTATTCTTATTGCAAAAATTCATCTCAGAGCACTTAACTTTTGACAAGTATGAATAAAAGTTAATCAAATCTGAATCTTCAAATCTTTGAATAAGGTTATGTCACAGTGTTCTATTTTTAGATTTTCCATGGCATTGCTCACATTTATGTTTGGTACTGAAAATAGTGTAAAACTGGCCTCCAAAAACTAAAATCTTTAATGTTTTTTCAAATTCTTGTTATAATACTGCTAATTAATTTATGGGAAATGTATTTGTGGGCTGCGAGTTTCAGACCATTGTTTTATGCCACTGCTTTTACAAAAGACCTAAATCAGCACGTTTTCTTCTATGAAAACTAATGGTAATTACTTGTTAACTTCATAGCATTAAAATTTATGAAATATTTCACAGGAATGTCCTATTTTCATAAAACAAGAGAAATTATGGTACTATTCGGTTTTGAGGACAGTAAAAAATCGCCAAACTATTGTTGATGGCAGTGCTGCCAAAAATAATTGCGGCAACCCTAATGCAAGAAAGGAGGTATAAAAGTAAATAACTATTTAAGATAGATGTTTTAATTTAGATGAAAGGTTAATTTCATATAATACTTTTTTATTATTATAATTTATATAAAAAAGGCTAAACATGACTGAATGGAAGCATAAGAGTAAATAACTATTTCAGATCATTATTACAATTTATATAAAAATTGCTAAACATAAACATAACTGAATGGATGCCTGCATCATTATTTTGCTACCGAGTTATCGCTAAAGCATAATTTCATCTCGTTGGTTGTTCAAACATAATTTTCTATAATGTATGATGCCTTTTCTTTGAAAAAATTATCGCTAAAGTGCAGAATCGCTCAATTATTTGTTTGCCGCTTTTTACAAGTGTAAAAACAATTGAATGTTTGTCAATTTTCTTTTACTTTTTAAGTGAAAATAGGTAGATGTGTACATAGATAAAGTCAAGGGTGTGCCCAGTGCCATGTTTGTGCAATTCTGGGATTTTTTTTTACAGTGAAACTAGGTCGAAGTGTACGTGGATACCGAGAATGAGCAATTCTTAAAAACGCGTCAAGCAGTGGGTGATTCTGCACTTTACCCAAAATTCTATTGCAGACTTTTCGTCATGTTAAATTGTTAAATTCATAGGCTATCAAAAAAGGATTCAAAACTTAAAACTAGTATTTCCATGGTGTCTTAAGAAATATAGAACTATATAAACTTACGCAATCTGAAATTAGCGTGTACACTAGATTTGACGCGCTGTTAAATGAGCTTTTGCTAGATTTGGCGCTTTTGAGCGTACATTTTCGCTGCAATTTTTTTACGGTCCTCAAAACGGAATAATACTGAAATTATTAACACCAAATAACCGAGATATTATAAATAAATATAAAATCTACACAACAGAAAACTTGCGATTCTTTTAACACAAGGCATAGCATAAAAGAAATATATTTCAAACTGCATTTAGTTAACCAATAACTAAATATTATAATTTATTTTTTACAAATGCAACAAAAAAAAATTAAACTACTTAATGTTCACCTAAACTCGTTCAATTAAATTTTGAATTGCATATTAAGAAAGTAATTTCTTTGATCAATGAAATAACATTGGAATGAAAAGTAAGAGCATTAGAGAAGCTAACTACAAACAAAGGTATGATATAAACAGGATTAAAAAATAAATGCACCAGTCTTCAGTCATCATTTAACTCAATATCAGACAAATCCGAACCACTCTTAGATTTATCTGAATCTTCATTATTTTCTGGCTCAGACTCTTCCTCTGAATGATTTTCTGTTTGTGACAATATTTCAACACCTTTAATATCTCTGTTCTTTAAATTACCAAGCCAAAAAGCTTCTTCACATTTATTCACAGCAAGCATAATTTTTACACGAAACACAAATACTTCCAAACTCTTCTTTAAAAGTGGAACATATTTTATCAAAAATACATCTTTCAACACTTTTGAGTGACTACAAACATGCTGCAAATACCGTGTGCTCACTTGCAGTGTTTTCATTAGGCATATAATTTCTTCTTTATTTGTTATAAAGAGCTTATCCATTAATGGCATGCCATACCTTAAGAATGTATTTAGAAATTCTCGACTAAATTTCAAACACGCACCTATATTAGATCGTGCTCCAAAAGCTTTTATCAAATTAGTAAGCACCTGAAAAACTTTAAATGCTATTGACCATTCATAAATTTGTTCATTGTTACTATGCTTTTTTATAAAGTATCCTTTTACATGATCAACTAAATTCATTAGCATGATCTTATAATAGCAGTTCAAAGAAGATTTATTGAGAGTATTAAATACTCTATTCTCATCATCATTCAGTAATTGTGAAATAGCTTCTTCACACAAATAATTCAAGGATTCCAGCACAGAAGGACTATTGTGAATATAAGTTTCTACAATTACTTTTATATTTTCATTTATCTCGGTAGTTTTAGCAAATTTGGTATCTATATCAAACCAATCTTTTTTAAGAAATGCTAAAGCCATTTCAGATACTTTTTCTTTTGGTGCATTATCATTAGTATAAACTAAAATTGATGACAACAACTGCATGAAATTTGCTGCAGATGACAATGATGGAATAGTATCTACAAATTTGATCAAATAAGTGACAGCTTTTGTGACTAGTTCAGTACAGGATGCACTTTCATCTTTCTCCTGAAAAGGTATATTTAGAGCTTTCTTCAAAAGCTTATCATTATCTCCTAAATTAAAATTTTTCCACGAAATAATTTGCTTCATTACTTTGAAAATAAGATTCATGCATTTCATAATACATTGTGAATCATCAGTAAATAAAAGTAAAGAATCTTCTATACCATCACACTCAAGAGTAATGTTTTTAAAGTACTTAGCACAATCTTCTACAATACTGCAGAGTGATGGTAAGAGTAAGATACAAAAAGACACAATTTTTAAAACTTCCTGCGATTCTAAATTTGAAAAACGACTTTGTTTTTGAGCTGTCTTTAAAAAGTATGTAGTTGTGCATAAGCAATAATTCAGTTTTATATTTAAATCATTTAGTAAGAATATTAGTTCATTAGGATGTAACTGCAAACATGTAATTTTTTCGTTGGCAAATATATCTCCTCTTTTTTGGAATGTGACACCTAATTTGAATAAAGCAAACACATCAACATCAAATTCTCGAAAGAAGGGTAGCAAGTTCTTTAAAATTGAAGTATCAACAGTATTTATCACTGAGGTTTCTTCTGCATCTGACTCAATACATTTTGATGGTGATTTAAGCGAGAAACTTTGAGAAATAACCTGACTTTGTTCTGCATTTTCATCAGTTTTTGCCTTTTTGGAACCTTTTTTCTTTCCTTTTAATTTTCTTTTATTTGACTTTTTTGTCAACAATTTAAAATAACTTTGCTCTTCACAGTCAAAATTTGCTGTAGGTGGAATATAATTTTCGACATCAGTTATATATCTGCAAACCAGATTTTCCATTTCTATCAAAAGTTGCAAACGACATAAAATATTACACTTAATATCTTCATCATCACTAGAAACAAAGGCATTAATATTTTCCCTTATCCAATTAATGCAATAAAATAAGGTGTTTAAAAGTAAGTGTTTTTCAGCAACTGGGAGGACAGAGAATTTCTGAATTCGCAACTCAGGTAGCATAATTGAACAACCTAAAAGAGCATCGATAGCTTCAAGATTATTATCTTGCATCTGCCTGAAAATGCGTAAAAGTCTAAACACAGGTGCTAACTTCATAGCAGATGCCTTATTTTGAGGACTGCAATGAATGCCAGAAGTTTCTGGTGAGACAGATATTTTAAGTAACATACTAAGAATTTTGCTCTGGTCAGAAAGCGGCTTTTTACTACTTTGTGTTAAAGATAAATTTCCACACTTTTGTGAAACACCAGATTCAAGTTTTTCAAAATCTTTTTTAACAATATTATGCAAGTCCACAGCTATAGGTTCATTAACTTCATCCAAGCCAAATTTGGGGCTAACTTGCTCTGCACTATATTCATCAGGCTTAACATCGATAATATAAATTTCTTCAAAATCTGAAAGAACATGTTCTCCAACCCAATCTAATACAACTGCACCAAGTTTTGTTTTATTCATTATATGTGACAGTTCATCACAAAACAAGGCAAAAGCCTCACATGATTCAGATGTACTTTCTCCTACAAGTTCCAGAAGTTTTATAGAATGCTCGTAGCAAGCATCAATATCTAGAACTTCAGATGATATTGATACGTTTGACTTTTCCTCATCATTTTCTTTCTCGGCTGCAGTTTTAGCTGCTGTCAAGGCTCCAATAACACCCATTTTTCTGTATCGCAAATTTTTATTAGTCAGTTGCTTTCGTATAACAATTAACATGTCATCAAGAAGCATAGCTCCTTCTCGACCACCTTGATAAGCTAAAATGCTCAGCATTTCATGAACTTTTCGAATTTGATTCAATGTCAAATCATCAAAATGATCTAACAAATTCTTTAAAAACAAAGCAAATGGAACCATCTTTTGAGTATGAAAACGAACTAGCGAAACAAGTGTATTTAACGCTGCATTGATTTCACTTTCACATTTATTACCCGCATGAGTAATCAGATTCCCAACAACTTCCTGCTTATAAAATGCATCAAACCACACAAAACATTTTATGTAGATACAGGAACCAAAGGCAGAAACTAATGGCTCAATAGAATGCAAGAGGGTTTCAGCAAGTTTAAGTAATTCGCGAGCATATTCTTGAAGAATTTTGTGATGGCATCTAAACGTGATGTGAATGAGATCTTCATTTATGTCTCCAGATTTAATTTTATTCTTTATCATACTTTCTAACTTTTTCTCATTCATTTCTAAAGCTAGAAAAATCAAAATAACAAAAATATCTAGAGATTTGTGGTTTCGTGGCCCTTTCAATGTCTCAAGATGTTTGTACCAAGCATCACATAAACATTTCTGAAATTTCAAACAATATTTTATGGTATTCAATACACTAATACCAATATTTTGTGAAGTTTCATTCTGTTTAGCTTCCAGTGGTGTTGATGATAAAATGGGATTAAAAGTAGAGTTAAAATCTATATTATTTTGAAGTTCAGTTATAGTTTCTGCGGCTTTAGCAGCAGTGAGATCTTGCAAGACAAATTTAACTATTACAGGTAAGTCATCAATATTTGCAGCTGGAATAGTTTCTAAAACTCTTTTTCTTATTTCAGAAAGCAATTCAGGATCAATATTAAGATTAGTTAAAGTGTCCAAAATAGTAACATTTAGCTCCTGATTACCAAGCAGTATTTTTCCGAGACTTTTAGCAACTTTAGAATGATCAAATTCATTGATAACATCGGGTAGCAATTTTATGATGTCTCGCTGGACTTCGGATGGTGTTGCCTCGATAAGCTCGATTAATTTATCCGCTAAAGCTTCCCCATTGACTAATTTGTTAAGCCAACGAAATTGAGATATAATCAAACAAGCTACTGTTTTACCTTCTGAACGATCATACAATGCACTATTTTCACAATAAGAAAATTCGACTAATTTTTCTAACATAATACTTGTTATTTTCTCTTGAATAACTTCTATATCTAGAAGTAAATGAACTAAGCTATCCTGTGACGTACTTCTAGCAGTTTCACAGGTAGCAGAAGTAATAGTAGGCATAAGACTCCATTTCAATCGTATTTCATCTTCTAAATGTACTTCAAAACCCGATATGAAATCCTCGATAGCAGAAGAAAATTTCCGATCAGTCAATATTTTTGTCAAGTCTCTGATAAAAACAGCTTGATCTACATTTAATTCATTAGCATTATTTTTTTCGCCGATAACAAATCCAACTTTTCTCAACGTATCAGCAAAAGCAGTTTCTGAGTTTCGTTTTCCCTGTTTCGGAAGTAGGGCAGGTTCTTGAGATACAAATACATTAGACACTTTTTTTCCAATTATTTTAGTTGACATAATGAAAAATTATCATACAGAGAAAACTTTAAATACCTAACAATCAACTTCGGGTTTCGCGCTAGAATACAAACATAAGTAACAGTTACAGTTAAGAATGCAACTTCAACATTTGGCAGAAAATCTTGTACTTTTTTAATCGACTGCACGTAAATACGTAAATTATGCAGAATGTTCCAGAATGACCAATGTTTTGCTTACTTTTGTTTTTTAAACTTTGGTGGTTAATTATAACTCTGACTTCAAAAGAGTACAGGGATCAAAGAGTACGCGTTTCTGAGATCCATAATCTTATCGTCCAAATATTGCCAAAATATCGCTCAAGGCACGACGTCTCCGGCTCAATGATAAGCAAGGTCAAGAAGACTCATGACGTTAAAAAATGCCGGACGTAGTAAAGTGGAGGTCTGAGTTGGGTAAAAAGGGGTAACCAGGAGTCACAGTCCGAAAACTGCCAAAGACAGAAGAGGATACCAACGAATCGAAGCAGCGAGGGCCAACTGAGAGGCATGTCTGCACTATGCTAGGAGACAAAGACGAGATCATGAAAATTTAAGCATACGTAAATAAATACACTGCATGACAAATTACATAAAACATACGATTTAAAAGATAAATGGGATAAAATTACAATAAAATACTACTGAATTACAAGACATATAAAGGATAAAATAAGGTAAAACAATATATACATGAATATGTACAAAAATTATGTAGGAAAGTTTGAGTCACGGGTAAGGTGGGCCGTGAGGGGTCTAATATGAGTCCATTTCGAGAATTTCATAAATGAAAACATTAAGCTGTCCCAGGTGGGAACAAGTCCGAGTATTCTTGAAGAAGTTCCCGTTCTGTGGAGAAATATATCGATAGTCTCGATCTACAGGTCTCTATGGAGCGTATCATTGGAGACAAAGCGATGTGCACGAGTTATCAGACACAAGAACTTATTTTGAGTTATCTGCAATTTACGTAGGTCAATTGTGCGAACCGCAGCCCATGCAGGCGATGCGTAGGCAAAAAGGGGCCTGGCAATATAAATATGCCGTTTCCCCCTGAGGTCTAGCTTGGAGTCTGCAGCAAGCAGAGGCGTGAGACTCTAGACAGCTCTGAGCTCTTTTCCCCTTACATAGCTGCCATCATCTCTTTCATAGGAAAAATTAAATCAGCGAAACCCTCTGCAGAAAAACTCCAAACAGGCTTCCAGGCAGCGATTTTGCTCATTCAATTTGCTGAATCTGAAAATTAAGCAAAGTTTTGTACTCGATCAAAGAAAGACCAATAGCGATGCACACAGCGTAGAGCAGCAAAATCCTTCATTCACCCTACACTTAAATCTTTTCTTTCTCCTTTCTCTTCTAGATCTGCAGTAGTCTGACTGACCTCTAACTCGGGAGTAGCTTCGTTTGTCTATGCGGAGATTCATCCTACGCATAGAGAATTTTTATTCTCTCTCAACATCCCACTAAGTGATAGTAAGAAAGTTATGCAGCTTTCTCCACGCGTTACATACAGAATGCGTCTTCGGCCCAGGCGCCTGTTTCCATGTACGTTTAGCACCTGAGTCTTCCAAAAATTTCAATAATTAGATACTTAGATTTATAAATTTCATCTCTCTAGCAGGGATGATTGTTTGATCCATAAAGATGAGTGCCGTTTCCTAAAACTTAACTTGTGCATTCGCGATTAATTGCCTGGAGTCTTATTATTATTATATTTTTTTATTCTTTCTTTCTTTTTTTTTTTTTTTTCTGTATGAATGTTGAAAGTCTTGCGTGGAAGTGTTTCTGCTGTTTTTTCCCGCTCAATTTGTGTAATATTTTAAGGTGATTATTGATTAATTCGTAATGTTGGGGTTTCACTCCAATAATTTAGTACTTTTATCTGAAGCTTCACTGTGCGTTCTAATTAAATGCTATTTTCATTGAACGCAGCTGCGTATAGATCTTTTTTATTTAGTATGGATCTTTATTATTTTATTTAGCGTATGGATCTTTTTTATTTTTTTTTTCTAGTAATTGAGAACTCATGAATGTTCATGAGTTCTCAATTACTAGAACAAAGGAATCCCCTTTTTTAACCCGTTTTCATTTCGATTAGGTCAGTATTTTCAACACATTCCTCAACATACTGTACATTAACAGCAGTACATTAGGTCACATGGATTAACACACTGTTTGTTGCATTTTAGGATACGTTCATGGTTGGTTCTTCACGTTTTTTATCTTCTATCTAGTCTATAAAGTTTTCCATGATAATCTGACTTATATTTAAAACTTGTTTACGGTCTTAAAAATTTGATCAATGCTCAAAATTGCTTACTCACCTAAGGGGGGAATTCAAGTGCAACGCTCTGATAAATTGCAAATGTTAGCTCGCAAGAGGCGTTCCTGCTATCGTCTGCTAAAGTCGAATTCAAGTGCAACGCTTTACCGCTCTGGTAACTGATGACGTCAAAATTGCAATGGGGAGCTGGTTTGCTCTCGTGCCAGGAGAGCTTGTCCGATAAACTACATCAATATCCAATGAGACTGCGTGTCGATGTAAACAAAAAACATCAGTTCCCATGATTCTTCTGAGCTTATGGTGAAGTGTTTACTGGGTTGTAGTGTGGTGCGTTGTAGTGTGGTGTAACGAAGTGTTCCAGTCCTGAAAACGAAGGAAATATACAGACATGTAATGTAATGTGTACAACTTTATTTACTTTATCCTATAGAAAATTCCCTCCAAAGTAATCTAGAGCAACAGGTGTGTGTAAAATATATTTTACTTTTCAGACAAAAATCCTTGCTTTTTTAAATATAAACCACAATTTTTTCCCATTTTCAAATTACAGCATTTGGTTTTAATTCTTCTAATAGTAAGTTTAATTTAAAATTCAAATTTGTGTTATATTTTTCTTGTTCAATGCAGATGCATGATTCTTCAGTGACAGTAGGCATGTTTACCATATGAAAATTTAACTAGTTCTTGAATTATATAGTAATTAATAAGCCCATCTATGTACAAGCAGATAAGCCTGCTGAACACCGCTATCCCAGTCTCTCTTTAAATCCAGGTGAAAAAGCTAGCTGCATGAGTGTTTTCTTCATTTTTTCAATGTATAACATGAATACTAAGTTTTCCTTAGTCTTCCATGCAGGCATTCCTTCCCTTAGACATTCATTATGTGATGAAACAGTTAAGAGCAATTTTAAGATTTATATTGTACATCGTTGGGAAAATATAAAAATGAAATTAAAGGTATTTCAATATAATACAATAAAAATTATATGAAACCTGAATTGTAGTAAGTGCTAATTCTAATGTGATATTAATGTAATATATACATCCAGAGTAAAGGTTAATTTATAAATTATGCTTTGTGTTCTGCTCATTAATATTGTGCATTTTACTTAAGTGAAAGTTTGGACCCATTCTCTTGATATTTATGTTCAGATTTATTTATTTCATAAAATTTCAAAAAACAATTTTTTTGCTATTAAAAGCTACAAGTGCAGAAACAAAAGCTTAATTTCTTTACTGTAACTGTGTCATGCTTCTCTGCTGATAATGAAAGTCGTCTTTTAATAAGATTTCTTTCATTGCATATATTAATTATATCTTTTACCATACTGGTTGCCATCTTTCATTGTGCATTCTTCAATATTTTTTGGTACTTACATATTAACACAAACACCTGGATCAGTTTGGTGGTCTTTATAAATGAAAAGAGAAAAATACTTATCAGGAGAAGTACGTTGTTTTTGCAGCTTGCTTTTAGCATAACCAAACTATCAATATTTATCTAAGTTGGCAAAACGTTATAACATATCAAAGGAAAAAACATTTAACAAATTTTAAAATACTAATTTGAATTATTAAATAAAAATTATATGATAGTTTAAAAAAATACATTTTCCACAAATTTTTTTGTCTAATTTTTTAGCACTGTTCTTCACTGCTTGTGCCAAGTGATCTGTTTTCACTAAAAAAAAAAAAAAAAAAAAAAAAAAATCAGAGAATTACATAAACTTGATACTGCATGCCTTGTCTATGTACCAAATTCATCTCATAGTTGTTTCCATTAGAAATTTTTGTACTAAAATATTCTATTCCTGCAGAACTTTTAACACAGCTTCTTCTTTTGATGGTAAGCTCCACAAGCAGTATTTTAAATCTGAAATTAATCTAAAACAACTATTCGTATCTAAAAACCATTGGAACTTGAAATACAACATAAGGAACACATATGAAAATGGTGACATTGCTTGAATGAAAAATTGTCATGAGCATGTTACCTGAAAAATTTTGATGCATAATCATTGCCAGAGTTTGGCACATTTTTGAAAATTTGGTAACTTTTATTAAGGTGGTTTCAATAATATGCAAATATCTTTTATTCTTATGATTGCTTCATTGTATACTTTTTCCCTTTCCCTAGAGTGCAGTACAATACCACAAGTTTTCCAGCCAAATGCGGTATGCATTTCAAGTTTCTATACATTTATATAAATTTTAAGAGAGTAAAATATTGACAAAAACTGCATTAAGTTTTCAACTCTTGTTTTGTTTTTCATTAAAAATTTGCTACCATTATGTATAATTCATTTTTTTTAATGTAAATGTTTTTAAGTATTTGTAGGATAAAGGCAAATTACACTTATTCATTCTTTCTTTGATATAATACATGTAGCTCTTTATGAAATCAATGTTTGTCAAATTATTGTGCATAAATTAGAATATGCATGTTTCTCTTAATCAGTTATGTTTGAACTATCTCTTTGAACTGTGTTCTATCAAATTATTATGTCATTAGTTTATGTTTGTGTTCTAAGCTTATTCTTCATGTTTTTATGAATTTTCATGTGGATGTATCATTATGTATTGTGTTATGTGGTACAAGTGTATAGGTGTATTATAAACATGTATATATATCATAGTATAGTAATATATAACTCATGCAGTATGCTTTGATTATATATTATTAAAGCATGTATATTTCAATCAAGATTGTTGAGGTTAATTGTGCTTCTTTTATGCTATCTCTGAAAGCATGTATATTTCAATCAAGATTGTTGAGTAAACTTTTCTTACTTTATGCTATCTCTGAAAGCATGTATATTTCAGTCAAGATTGTTGAGTAAATTGTGCTTATTTTATGCTTTTTTCTTTTTTACATTAGAAAATTCCACACTTTTATCACGAGGATGACATTTAGGAATGACAAGTTTGTATCTATTACATAAAATCTAATGTTTTCTGGATTCTTCTTTTCTTTTTCCTCCCAACAGAAAAACTTTAATGGTATAAATCAGCGGTTTTCAACCTTTTGACTTATAGTGTACCATCTAAGCAAAAACTGAAAAACATTAATACCACCACTAATTTTACAATGATTATTTTTCAATTCCTCAATAGAAATATTAAAAACATATATATATTGCCATTTGCACACTCTTTGTATTAAATATGTACACATAAAAACTATTAGATTAAAAACTGATGATTACTTAATTATCAAAATTAAATTAATTATTCACTTGATTATCAAAATTTCAGTTATAATACTTTAATATTTAATTTCTTTATGTCTGCTCTTATTTCATTTAATGGTAAATTAGGATCCACTTTTTATTTTGGTGAGTATTTATATTTCAAATTTAACATGGAAAAAATCATTTTTCACACAAACAGGTTGTGCGAAAAGACAATACAAATTTGATAGCTTTATTTGAAATGCCTTTAAATTCTTTTTTTCGGTTCAGCCAAAAGTTAACAAGTGTGTCATTTTCCAAATCTTCAAGTCAATTTCGATCAAAGGAAATTTCTATTAACTATTCTTTTCTTTATGAGATTTTTGAATTTAATAGTTAAAAATACTTTGTTTCTTTGCATACCACCGGCTGAGAACCGCTGGTATAAATTAATTATAACAGATGTAAATTAATATTTCTCATACAAAAGAGTTATTTCAATTCTTTATTGCGAACATTATATACAGAGTATGTCTATTATTAAGAACAAGATTTTAAGAATTTAAAATAATAATCATTAAATCCTCTTGATCTATATATAAACAGTCTTAAAAATTATAAAGGGAAAAAAATTGAAAGTTAAAGAAATCAATATTATGAATTGTTCCTTTTTAGAGAAGTTTCATTGTTTAATTATAAAAAGTGTTTTACATTATGAAATATAAAAATTAAGAATATTTGAATTTGAATGAATATTTTAAAATTTTCTCTCAGATAGAAGCTCAACTATTCGAAGCAGGAGACCGAAGAGAAAAAAGAAAGAGAGATGATATTACAGCTGCAGAAAAGGAAATAATTGAAACGCAGAAGAATATATTAATGTACTGTGTGAAATATGTGACTTGTATAAGCAATCAGTTGCAAATCAGACTGCTGTCATAGAAAATCAAATATAATTATTAATTTATTAAAAAAATAAATCATGCATTTCAAATATTACAGTGTTTTCATTCTTGTATATATTTCTGCAGTGTGGGATTCATATTTTAATTGTAAAATTTACTACTTTCTTAATTTTATTAAATTTTGTGATTATGAAAATTATTTAAAAGAAATTCACAGATCCATTATATGACATAAACATTATAATAATTTTAATACCACTATTATAAGTCTCGTGAAAATATTTATGCATTTTACACAGCAATTATCTTTTTCCTGGAGGAAATGGGAATAAGACCTGTAAGAATCTAGTCAATGTATTACAAATTTTAATTTTCAGATATAACACGAAATGAATTAAATTGTTTTTCAATTATGTTAATAAGTTATATGAATGAGATGTGGTATTAAAAATTTCATTTCTTTTTATCATTGAAGAAATAACATTCGATATCCTACAGCTCCATAACAATGGCAGATAAAATTGGCATTCTAATTTCGAAGTTCTAAAAATACAGAGTAACTTAAAGATGACAACTATTAAAGTATGGCTAATGTCTAGTTTACAATAACAATGTTGAGTCGCCTACTACAAAATTAAGTGAATCAAACTGTATTTATTTTCCCCCTTCTCTTTTTTTGGCTGAAAAACAATTTATTATACACTCATGATTTTACTTAAATGTATTTCTTTTAATGGCAAACCCACTGAGGTAAGTATGCAGTAAGTTATTATAGTGAATGCGTAATGATGATATAAATCTAAATTCAGCAAACAATCTTTCCCTTACTTTAATGTTTTAAAATCTAGAATTAAAGGAAAAATGTATGTTCTTTAAATAATACAAGAGGATATGGAGGCATAAATCATAGGCTGTTTATTCTTTACATATTATGCTAATCAGGAATTGCAGCAAAACCCTGCTTAATCGAAGAATACGCTCACAGGAATGGTGGAGGAAAATTGAACTGTCCAATATTTGTTTTGCCCACCCCAAGAAGCCTGGGTATACATAAACAGTATAGAGTGAAATAATTGTTTTTAGGAAATACATTTAAATATCTTTGACAGAATATGTCAGTTTTAATTTGTACTATAATAAATAAGCATGAAGTTCTTATGCTATTAAATGTGTATTGTCACATGGAAATTTTCTATCTTGTCTCACGGAAGGGAAACATTTGACTTTTTGGAAGAAACTGAATTTTGATGCAGTAAATCTTATTGCTAAGTTTGAGATAAATTAAGTGCAATGCTAATTCATAGTGACTTACTATTGTAAATCATGACTGGCATACCAACACTGAAATATATATATATCGAGTCTATTAAGTTATTTCTGGTAGTCAAGAGTTTTTAAACATAAATGATGGAAACAAGAAATTCAGAGGGAAGAACAATAATGATAAAAGTTGTCAGTATGCATTTGAAACCAGGACAAATAAAATTATTTAGGATTATTATTATCAATTAAAATCATTTAGGGTTGTGAATTTAGTTACAGGTTCAAATATAAACCATGGCTTGTGGGTCCCCAAGAATATATTATGAAAGTAATTTTTTTCATAATATATTCTTTATTATCCATGAAGGGGGTTTCACCTTTGCCAGAGGTTCATTGTTGCCCACTTTGGGTTTTTATTATCGAGTTTCAAAATTTAAAATTAATTCATTGTGCAATGCAATTTCAACATGCACTGACTGAAAACTTTCTGAAGGTACCAACTCATCTTCAAACACATCAATCTCAGGATTTTCAACACAATACCTTAAGCATATATTATGTAAAATGGCCACCAGATATGACCATTTTACATATTTTGCTTTGTGAATACAATAGTGTTCCACCAGTATCGTGCAGTACCCTAAATCTTGATTTGATCTCTATAGCTGCACGAACTTTTCTGTGCTTCTCATTATAGAGATATTCCCGTGATAAAATGGGAATTATAATCCACTATCTCCCAAAGATATGCACGATGCGACAAAATACTATCTAGATTTTGTTTCGAGTCCACTCAAACTCCATATAAATGCATCATGAGTATTGCCTGGCCGTTGTCCTACAGCATAGAGAACCCTCAGACAGCATCACATACCTAGAAAAACATAAATCCTAGATCAAAAGAAAGTTTCATCTGAAATTTTAATACACAGATTTTTAACATTAAATATAGTTGATATATTAATAAATCAGTCTTTTTAAGGAGTTTACTTTCCATTTTTAACAAAAATATGTCACTGTTTTTTTCATTAGTAAAAATATGCAATAAAACGTTAAAACAACACAAACAAAAAAAAAAAAAAAAAAATTACAGCTACCCTTTTTTTCATTAAATTGTAGTATAAATAGGTGATTCTAAAAGCTTTTGTATTATTTAATATCTATACTTCACTATAATTATAGTATAGATAGCTTTTTGTTATTATTATTTGAATAATAATAATAAAACATTCTTGCAGTAATTTGAAATGACTATAATATTATACTTATTATCATATATTTCTTACCTTTTCACCATTAATGGAAAATTTATTTTTCCGGTTAATGAAGACAAAACAAAAATTAATATCACCACACACTCGCAACATCTGCGGTTTCATTTGTATGTAACCCAAAATAATTCTTGGTAAGCTAGGTAGAATCACATTTGTGATTGCACTCCAGTTCTTTTACAGCTGGTCGAAGAGAATTAACATCTACTGTATGTGGAAATAGCGAACAAAACAGTAAGAAATTGGAACAATTACCTGTGGACAACTTGTATTCATAGCATTCTAAAATGAGCTTTTGGTAAAATTTGACCGCAAATAAAACAGTAGTAATGAACGAATGTTTTTTCACGAAGTGGGTCCAATACTTTCACAGCAGGGTTATTTCATGTATTCTGCAGAGAGACTGATGTATGGTTTGTTGTAACTGCTGTATACAAATGTCTGGCTCAGAATTCCACAGCAGTAATTAGCACAACTTTCATGGTTGATGGTATAATATGGAGGTACCAAAAATTAGTATTATCACAGTAACTGCAAGATGGCTTATATTTCTAAAACTCAGTTAACACATTTCATGCAGAAAGAAAATATTATCCAGTTTCATACTTAAATCAAGGTCACTGAAATGTGGTAAAAGCAATCTGCTTAAGAAAACAGATGCCCCTGTAGAGGACTTTCTATGGAAAACTGGCTTTCATTCCCATTATACATGGGCAAAACCAATGTCATGTAATATAATAATCTATTAGTACAGTAAATACATTTAATTTCTTTGCATTTATTTATGTCATGCTGCTTTTCGTGTAATTTAGTATGATAACCTTATAAGTTTATTTAATTCTGATCATGGTCTATGGAAGTAAGGTAAGTCACCTGTTGCGAGAATATCAAGTTATTAATATTTATGTGAAAGTCTGCAATAACTTTTCATATCATAAGAGATTTACGAATGTGTATATAACTTACATGTGTAGTTATTATGCAAGATCTATAGAAAGTATCCAAAATTACCATGACATTAATCACACTGTACGAACAGGCAAGACATTATACATTAGGAGAAAATTAACTAATATTTTGGGGGATGAAATACTATTTTACACATGGGAACTGTTTAAACAGCTGAGAAAAATTCATGCTTTTTCCCCCTACAGTTACAGAATATATATATATATATTATTTCATAAGAATAAAAAGTAAAGTAAAGTTAAATTTAAATAATTCTCATGCGCCATTGCTGCAAAGAATGAAATTTGAATTTAACAAATATTCTCTATTCATATAAAGTTAATTTAAATTATGAAATTTTAATTGCATACATATCAAAGATTAATTATTGCTGCAAACTAATTTACTATATCACTGAAATTCTGAGAGCATATGTAAATTAAATGCACGTATCTAAAACCATGAAAAAATATATAATATTCCAAAAAACTAATCCCAAATATATACATATATATATATATCTCAAAGACAGGCATATGCATAATTTCTGTTAGAAAAACAATTTCTCCGAGATTACGTTTTAGAGTAATTAAAACAATAAATTAATGGTGATATTATTACTGCATTCCAAAATTCGCAGTAATTAACGATTTCGATCATTACTACGAAAAAAAAAACGGGATGAAAAAGAAAGAATCCTGATACAATAACATTAAAAATTTGTGTGTTTACGTATAAAAATATATAATATTCTCAAATAGGTCATTTAAGCATAGTCTTTGATTCGGAAACATTTCCAGAAGTATTTCAGTTTTCATAATCTGAAGTAAAAACAAACCTGCTTTTGCAGAGAATATCCATTGGCAGTTGCCTTCAGAAAAGGTTTCAATTCATTGAAGCAAACCGATTTAATCTGAATCAACTGATGAATTCACGCTCCGACATTTCAAAAGCATTACGACTGTCTCTTAAATGCCAAGGAATTCGATCAGCATTTCTCCGATTCTTAAACGTCTGAGCAAATCACTCAGATTCAGGCGAAAAGCCCAATTAAAGTCAGGCAAGCTGTGTTTGTTTGTTGGTATGAAAACTTGGTTTATCGTGGTTGCATTTAATGTTTTTTTAGTGTTAATCACTAATATCATCACTACGTAAGTAATATATTTTCTATCTTTGTTTATACTCAATTTTAGATTTATTTGGGAAAATTTGTAGCTGTTCTCAATCCTATTCAAGTAATTTCGTTTTAACATAACATCGAATACATTAGTTTGGACGTTTCGCATAGTGTTGTTTTGAATATTTGTTTGGAATAGTACATTAGGAATTCCTTATTTTGATTATTACTTTCTAATGGCATATTTGACATTCTGTCCCAATAAAATAAACTTTATCACCACAAACATTTCAGGCATTAATAACAACTATAGATGCATTCATTCAATTGATTCCATGTTTGTTTCAAAAGTATGAAGCTGAATACATATTGTTAGGAAAATTTCACACTGATGTTCCTGAATCACGTTTTGAAATGTATCGGCAAATGTCAGGTTCAGATTATTAAATAAATGACCTACAATTATTAGAAAATGAGAAGAAGCTTCGTTTTATAATTTCATCATCAAATATGAATGTCTTTTTTACCAGATTATGATAAGTATTCTATCTTTACTTTTGTGAATATTAATTGATTATTAAAATTTACTTATTAATGATTTTTTTATAGAAAATGTTTTTTCTGATATTTTAGCAGTGCCTAGTTTTATGTTTCAGGTTATGATGCCATGAAAAAATTAAGGGTGATAAAATGCAATATTTGCCAGGACTTGTTGCAAAGTACTCATTCAGTAGATACAGCAGAATCTCTTGGATGCTTTGGAAAAAGTGATTCAACATAAAATTGGAACTGGTACAAATAGATGGCTATCCGTTTTATGAATGCAATTAGCATTTAGCTCTTTGAAATTATCTTGAAAGATTTATTTATAGTATAACGTGCATGTAATTTCATCTTTATATTCAAATTTTCTAGCATTTAAGGAATTTTAATTCATTTTCCTGTTTTGATAAAATTGAGATATGCAGATTTTTATTAGTGAATGGAGTGAAGAGAGATGACTATGGGTAATTTGACTTTTAAAAATTTATATAAGCTGATGCGATGGTAGCGGCATGGAGTTTTACAAAATAATTCTTCCCTTAATATTTATTTACTAGTATGAAAATCTAAAATTTGCATCCATAAATCTATTGAATTCCCCCCTTATGTGGATTTTATATTATTTTGGCAATAAATTTGATTCAGATTACATAAATGAATTTCATTTTTATCAAAATTACGTAAATCAAGTTCGCATGAGGTGATTCTCAATGATATTTTTAGTTACATAAACGAAAGTACAAATTGTTTTTAAAAATTATTGAAGATATGCATTTTTACCGCCTGTAAAAATATTTGCACTATGAAAAATTTAATGTTAATCATACGACCTACTCACGTTTTAATTAATTATACTTATTTATTTTAATACAAACTACTATTTTCGGTAAAGTTTAACTCCGGGATTATGGTATAGAGAAAGAAATCGACTACTTCGATCACGTGACCTTCCGAAACTGATTTCGCTTCAAGGCCATGATACAGTCGGCTGTGCTCTATGGTAGTGACGTATTTTCAGTAGGCGTGTCCGAAAAGCGTCGCACTTGAATCCGATTTTGCAATGCAAGTGCGATTACCATGATAAGCGTTGCACTTGAATTCGCCCCTTAAACTTCAATATATCTCTGCCGAATGGCAACTATGAGGAATGTTGCTTTCGAAATTGAGGAGATTTTAGTTGGAAAACAGTTGGAAGTTTAAACATAGTCATCTGAAATAGTAAGTTTATATTTAAAATGGCTTCACTTTTTGATTATGAGGATTCTGAATGTGAGGAGGAATCTACGGAAGCAAGTGCAGCTACTGCTGCTGGATCATTGGACACTGATAAATATTTTTCGCTAGTGATGGTTAAGGATCGGAAAACAGAGATGTATGTAAAATTTGCGAAAGTGATGGTAATATTCCAATATGTGAAACAGGAGCATACTGGAAATATTTTAAAACATGTAACAGAAAAATTCAAAACAACCGCATATGTAATTTCAGATTCAACTTTTATTCAACACACCCTGACGTCATTTGATCCTGAAAATACTAATGCGTATTACAAATATTTTAAAGAAAGGTGTAAAGAAGGTTGTGAAAACGGTGCTAATCTAATAGTTATTGCACCATCGATGACAAATATGCATCAAAATGAGTATTACCTGTATTTAGCTCAGAAAACACAATATGTTGTGCTTGTTGTACCTCCACTTGTTACTGAAAGTTATGTGAGTGATTATGGACAGGCAAAAAGCTTTCGTGAGATTAATGTTAGAGTGAAGTCTTTAAATCATTTTCAGCATTTATTTTGTGCTTGGTTTCTCCACGAAAAGGATTCTGTAGAATTACGCAATGAAGCAGAACTTTATGTAAGAGATTGTTTCGAAAATTCAATTGACTTCAGAAGTTATTTTTCAAAAATATGTTCTGTAGAGGATTTTAGGACTCATTACAATTTGCATCATAAAAGACAAGATTTGGCATATTGTATGACCACTATGTTCCGTTCAATTATAGATACTCATGCTTATTTCAAAGAAGAAAATGTGGAAAAATTTTATGGGAAAATGGCAAAATTGTTTATTGTTGGGTTTATTGTATCTCCCCATATGATTGCAGCAAGGGTAAAACTGACACAGGAACAGAAAGAATTGTGGAAATTGCCAAATGATCTGAAAGAATCATGTAATGTTTTGGTATATCCATCGGAACTTCTTGAAAAATCAAAAGTTAAACAAGATGATAAAGTCAATTTATCATCCTCTAAATGTAATCGAACATTAACATATTCTGGACAAACTACACATGCTCCAACAGAAAGCATACTACCTTATTTTAAAGGAAGATCATGTCATATTGTTCTAGGAAGAGTTACAGATGCACCTGTGCGTAATGTTGATTATGATGTGTACTTTGCAGTCAATAGAGAAACTAACGCCGTTAAAAATAATGCAGATTTAGAGGATGATGATATTGGAAGATCAATTGTCCGAAGGATTGGGAGATACTGGTTTATATATTTGAAGGAAACTCTTTGTGTTGAAGGTTTCTTCACATCATATGTCAAGGCAGAAAATTATGATATCCGAAGAGTTTAAAAGTGTTCTGAAAGCAAGTTTGATTTTGTATAATTTTATATCTGTTTACAGCTTTGAGTTGCTTTAAGATTGTTGAAAATAGTAATATGAAACTTTATATGAATAAAATTATATGTAATGGAATTTGTGCATTAAAAAGATGTGTTTTTGAAATCATATGTTTTTGTAAGGTAAGTAGTCTGTCCACACTTTAAGGATGATTATGTTCCCTTAAAAGTTTCCAATAGTCATATATGTGTTTTATTGAGAGTACAAGTGGCACAGCTTTAGTATTAGTCCTTTTTGGTGAGAAATTTGTTTGGCAACATTTTGGAGCGATAAATGAAAAATTATGATAACCTTGGTAACCCTAAATACTGAGCTTCAAACATGCCGTCATTTCTGTCCACGTAACTTTAACGAATTTGATAGGTATCAGAGCTTTGATGGTAGGAGGGATAAATTGTGTGTTTTTCTTAAAGTTATGGTTGATCTTTACAATATGGTAACTGGTAGTTTGGCGACATTTTGGAGGCGATAAAGTTTACTACCTGGTGCTTTTAATATTACATCACATGAGTCAACATTTTTTTCATATGTCAACTCTGCATATTATTATAAACTCCCCCCCAAGGGGGAAAAAACACATTTTCAGTAGCATGAAGTAAACTCTTGGTGTTTCCTTTGCTAAGGAGATCAAAATTACCATGGTCTAAAAATACTTATTTACCTCATATTAGAACTATAGGGATGTGTAATTTGCATGAATTCATAGGTTCAAATCAGGTTTCATTATTGCTTTTATAACATTTCATAATTTGCCTGACTATAAAAAATATAATGTTGCTAGATTATGGAATATATTGCTTATAATTTAGAGTTCTCAAATTTTGTAAATCTTACAACCTAACAGCTGTATATGAATAACCTTCACTGAGTATTATTACTTTTATTAAATAATATGTTGACACAACAGTCGACTTTTTATTTTAAATTTTATGCAAATTTTCTACATTACTTAAACTTTTATCTAATAGAAAATCTGAATTTTTTGTAATAAAAACTCTATATAAAAGTAAGAGTACAATTTATATATAAAAATTTGACTACATGGCAAGCACTTAGATACTGATTTCAATGTCTTTAAATGTTATTATCATAAAGTTTAGATATATTCTTATTAAGTTAAGATATACTTTTATTCTATTATAAAGTTTAGATGTACAGAACAGAAGGCACACTTTGTGCTTACGACTCAGTGAACCACTCGTGGCAAGATAACTTATGATAACAATTAAGTTTAAATGTAAAATTTAAATTCAATAAATTTGTAGCCCAAAGGCTGCACAAATCAATTTAATGCAAAGTTGGTTAAAAACTTAACTGGCCTGGAAATTCAACTATCAGCAATTATAATGCCAAGGCTGAAGACTACAAATCTTTTCTTATCTAGCAACCTATTAATGTGGCCTCAAAAGGCAAAACACGGTTTGTTTTACAAAATAAAAACTTCATTTTGGATTCTGGTGAGAAAACGGATGGAGGAAATTGACAATAAGATTCCAAGCATAAAATAACTCTGGTTACAAAATAAAGGAACGTTACAATATACTTTGTTCCCTGATTAATTATTCAGTACATGAAATAGTGTAATGCATTTTTGTTTGCATCACATACAAATTATTTAGTTTATTTAAATGCTTTCCAAAACTGACAGGATTTTGCAAACATATTGACCATATTTTTCGACCTATAGATGCAACACTTCTTCTCTTCAGAAGTAAGATTTAGAATTAAGAAATAAGAAAATAAGAGAGAATTATGAATAGAAAATAAATACATATCCTGGCTAGCAGAATAAGGATGCCTTCATAAAGTACTTTTTAAGAGAAACTGGCTCAGATTCACATTACATCTACGGAAAACTACTAAAACTCCCATATAGCCAGCCTGAACTACCACTGTTCAGTGGCTATCACTGCACCACTAGTGGATTCCAATGACTGTTCGAAATTTTCACAGAAATCATCATTTACGATGATTGGTGTATTATTACCATTGGTACAAAATTTACTCATTATGATAATTTAATTTTAGCTTTTAAATTATAATCATAAATTACTTGTAATAATTGAGAGATTAAAAAATACACACTTCTTAATATTTTTTACCATTTACAATATTTAATCATAAAAAATATTTCTAACACTGGTACAAAACTTGCCATTATAATGAATTTGATTTTCTTCACTTTGAAATATTTTTTATTTTCTTTTAATAACAGAATCTAAGAAACTAAAGTAACATGTATTAGTTTGAAATGCATTTCTTAACCTTTTGTAAATTTCATATTCATAAACATAAAATTAACCTTTGTAAATTTTAAAATATTAGCTAGTACTAATAATAAAATTAAATATGAACTAACTACTTAAATATAATGTTTAATACATTATATTTGTAATTAAAAATATTAACATTTTGAATTTCATACTCATAACATAATAATTGTATAAATTCATTTACAGTAGTGTTTCAAGAATTTATCATTGCAGTACTAGAATATTGAAATTAGAGAAAGATTGTTTATTTCTGATTAAGGCTTATTTTTTTAGGATTGTATTTAGTCTAGATCGGGTTTTGTTGACAATCCGCCATTTTTTTCCGATCTTCAAAATCGGGTCTACCTTGGCGACCGAAGTTTGTCGCCAAATAAAAAAATCGCCAAAAGGACCAATACTAAAGCTGTTCCGTACAAGTATGTATAATTTGAAAATGGAAGCATATTTTTTAATTATACACCTTGTTAAATAATGATAGTAATGTTTAACATTTTGCTTTAGTAGTATTGTTACATGCTTTTTTTTTTTTTTTAATTATCCCGAAGTCTGATTAAACATATTGTTGTATTGAAGTTGATTAGAAGACAAACCTCGTTCTAATAAAGCTGATAATTAGTCATATCTCATTGGTTTGGTTTGTTTAATTATGACAAAGCACTGGAGGGCGATCTGCCTAAAGAAAACTGACTCAAATATACATGGAGAAAATTATGAAAATGCCCATGGAATGAGCCTGCTCTTTTCTGATTCGACTCTCAGACTGAACTACCAGTCTTCAGTGACTTTATTTCTTGGCTGCGAATGGGCCCTGTGATAACTGATAATTCAAGATATGGCTGGTGACTTATATCTTCCCATATCTTCTGTAGGTATACTCAAGCCAGAATGTGAGAAGATATTTTCTAAATAAGTGGGGAGGAGAACTTTGTCATAAATTATTTCAGACAAATGCCATATCGTCTTTTTACAGCATCCATAGTGGTAATTTTTGTCTTATATCCTATAACATGATTATCATTTCTCTTCAATTTTTCATTCTGTTTGACTGAGTGGACATTTTAATCAAAGAGATTGTGGTGTCTTTTCTTCTTCATGCAGTTTTGTCTTACTATAAATATTGACTTCTGTCACACTTTCATATTCCAATTTATGTGTGTGATCCATTAAAAAATGTATTATCTTATATTCCAGATTTATTATTGAATATATTTTAAAATTCAGAATTACTGACATTATTGAAACGATAATATTAAACATTCATGTGTACTTCTTGATTACCCCGCCTCCAAAAAAGAAAAGTTGTCATAGAGTTGGTGACTAGTTTTTTACCTAGCTAATATACAAAAAGGCAATAAATAGTCTTTTCAGAACAGCAGTGCACCAGTAATTCCATGGTACTTACGTATTAACGCAACCAGGCCAAAATTGGCATAAATCGCCAAATTTGGCGACCCTACTTACAACATCCCTACATGTTATACGTAGTTTTTCGTAAAGAAATTATTTTTCTTACTGGTTAGATTGAATGCTCTGAAATACTTTAACTATGGGTATTTAGGATCTGCCCTGCGAGTGAAAAAGGATGCTGTTGAATTGTTGCAGGGATATGGAATTATACCGAACGAACGTACTTGTAAAAATTCTCATAAAATGAAACTGTATTTTGGAAAGCAAATCTTCTGGAAATGTAACGTCGAAGAGTGCAATCAACATTTGGGTGTGAGAACCGGAAATTGGTTTGAAGGTAGCCGAATTTCATTTGTGACAGCGGTGCGCCTCATTTATTGTTGGTGTAAAGAGTTAACCTCAATTAAATTTTGTGCAGAAGAGATGAGAATTGCTGACAAAACTGTTATAGATTGGAATAATTACATGCGGGAGATACGTGCCCTTGAAATGGATGAAAAAGAAAGAAAGCAAATAGGCGGCGAAGGACTTATTGTGGAAATAGACAAAAGTTTATTTGTAAAAGGAAAAAATAACACTGGGCGTGTACTACCCCAGCAATGGGTTTTCAGCAGAATTTGTACACAGCGACATGTTTTAACTTACAAAAACATCTACGAATGGCACAATGTAGGCAACGAACGAATCTACGAACTACGCACACCTCGCTTTAATAAATTAACATAAGTTGCCGTAAGTAGGGTCGCCAAATTTGGCGATTTATCCGAATTTTGGCCTGGCTGCATTAATACGTAAGTACCCAAAGAAGTATTTACCTATCAACCAAGTATGGGTGTAGCAGATGTCTGTTTAGACCAGTGCAGAATACTGAAATTGTACAGATGTCAAGTTTGTGCAATTCTCTGATTTTTAAACAAAAACTGTTTAGTACGTACAAGGAAAGAACTAATACAGGAAAAGGTGGTTAATTTTTCATAAGTGGGTTGAGCACGATACTTGGCGAGAGTTTTTATTTGTTGTGATTTCGATTTGGTTGTAGTTTGCGACTGTATGTTTTCTTGTGGCTAGGGGCATACCTAAAGGGGGGCAAGGGGAGACATTGTCCCTGGGTGCAGCATCCAGAGGGTGCCAAATTGATGTGAATTTTTAAAATGGAATGATTTTCCTTCTTGGTAAACAGGAGGGGGCGCGAAATTTTCAGTTGTCGCCAGGAGCTGAAAGCTCTAGCTACAGCTCTGCTTGTGGCAAACATAGAGCAGTAGCCAGAAGATTTTTTTTTCGAATTTAATTTTGAAGTATCGTGTTTATTTGCAGGAGGTTAAGCTGTTGGTGGTAGAAGAATGTTGGATTTCAGATGACATGTAGTTTATAATTTATGAATGTTTTCATTTAATTTTATTTACCTAATGTTTTTCGGGTCAGATAAT